GCAGGCGCAGTTGCCAATGCCATTACATCTATCCAAGAGGAAGGTAATTCCTCTTCGGTCGCTATCGCGAGTTCAACGGCTTCGGACTGACTATTTGTAACTGCATTTACATGTAAATTCTGATTTGAAATTGTGATAAGAGACTCATTCTGTAAATTCGTATCATTGATGAATGAGAGAGTATCCATTTCGCTCTCGAAAAGGTGGGTTTCGTTCGAGGAACTTATAATATCAGTAATATGACTAGTAATGCAGTTGGCACTATATAACGCATTGCTATCAGATAAATCTTCTGCATTTGATTGATTTATGAATACTTCATCAGAAGCAGTAACGGAATTATTTTTAAACTGTTTCATATTATTCGTGAAACTTGTTTCCTCAGAAATATGTGCTATTGCATTTTGTAAACCATCCTGCATAATCTTCTGCCTTAAATTTACTGGGATAGATTGATCCTGTCTAGCTATACTGTCACTATGCACTTCCGGTAACGAAGCTGACTTGTGCAAATGATTCTGATGCCCAACAACATCCATTAAATTATCATGTTGTACATTTGATTCAGTCATTTGGTTAAATACTTTAAACTTGTGATAATCCTCATTATTGTTAAAAACATTAACTGCCTGTTCATTAAAATTATCTAAGATATCTGTCGCAAGAAGCGCAACTTCGGTAGTTTCATTCGAATCTTCTTTGTCTTTGGTAGAAATATAACCGAGTTTTGCGTCCAGCTTGCGATGCGTCATAATATCTATTACATTAGTAGGAGTTATTTGTTCCGCAGTATTTTTTGCAGATACATATGGCATGTTTCCATCATTTTGCATGAGATCTGTAGATATTGGTATGACAGCATACGATGGTATAGTAGTGTTACTTGCGCTAACTTTTACAAGTTTCAATTGTAATTGAGTTAACCTTTTTTGCTTCTCAGCCACATCATCATCCTTGTTATTTTTATGCTTCTGTCATAAATAATTAAGATTTAATTAGATTAATACAAAACATATTAATATTGTTAATATTTCTATGGTTAATACTTACCGTATTGTTATTCATAATTTTATTATGTGTTTTTATGTGGCTTTTTAGACTGTGAGGAGTAGTAAAACGTCGTTTGCAATTTTCAAAGGTACAAACATATGGCCGTTCACCTGTATGTGTCCTTTTATGCGTTTTTAAATGGTGCGAAGCTGTAAAGGCCTTTCCGCAACCCTTTTCTCTGCATCTTAAAATAAACAGGAAATGATAATCCCAAATATTTATAAAAGATCCAATATGTAACTAGAAATTAACCAAGTTTTATAATGTTTTCCTTTAATTTATTTAATGTGTTGATATATAATGATTTGTAATGTTTTTTTTTTATATTACAGGAAGTACCGAAAAACATACTTGTATGGTCTTTCTTGAGTATGAGTACGTATATGTTTCTTGAGATCGCTTAAAGTAGTGAAGAATTTAACACATCCAGTCTCTTCGCAGTTGAATGTATTGCCGCTATGAAGTCTTTGGTGAGCTCTCAGTCTGTAACGGGTATTGAATGCCTTCTTGCAGTCTTTGTGAGTGCATTCGAATGGTTTTACTTTTGTGTGTACCCTAATGTGGATCTTTAGACTGTAGGACGTGAGAAAGGCCTTGCCACAACTCGGCTCTGCACATTTAAATCGATACTCGCCTGAAAGTTTTGAGAATTCCCTCCACATAAAAAGATTGCAGGTCTACCTATCTCTTGCAGTATCTGAAAGCCATGCAGGTCAAAGCGTTCCCTTTATACCAGCATTGATGAATTAATAATATCAGTTGCAAAGCAGAATTGTATAAATATAGATTTCATTGCTAACATCATCACAAGGAAATATGGCTGTGAAACTTACCTGAATTCTTTCATCCATGGAATATGCAAAAACAAAAGCACATATAATTTGTTAGTATAGCAGATGGAACAAACTGCATATTGGACAAGCACAAAATGCACAAAAGCACAATATTTTTTTTTTAATGATATAGGTTAGATAATTACAGATAAGGCAACATACACAACGGTATAATAAAAATTGCCAAGATAAATATTCTAAATAAGATAAAAGATCTTAAAGATATTAAAATATGCTAAAAGTAATTATACATTTATGATCATTTTTATTATCAAGTTATATTTTTTTATTTATATGTTAGAAATGACTTATATGTTAAAGACATTGTCTATCACTAAAAAATTCTCTATTCTAATTTTATCACATTTATTATTAAAAATCCTATAAACTATATTTTTATTCCTAATAAAAAATTATTTTTAGAAATTTACCTTTGTGTGTTTTCATATGGGTACGCAAATTTCCAATGGTACTGTATGTCCTGGTACAGCCTTCGTATTGGCAATTATAACGATTGATATGTTTCTGATTAGTATCTGGATCCATACTTTCAATCGTGACAGTTTCATGAGAGGTTGCATGATCTTCAAGTAATACATCATCTTGATCTTGATGAATTCGCATATAAATTTCATCTGGATTGATGGTATGATGAATATGTCTGTAAATGTTAATACATATTTTCAATATATATATATATATTAGGTGTTGGAATTAATTCGTAGCGTTTTACATGAGCATTAAAAAATACATTAATGAAAGTACTTCCCATCACTTGTAAAACGCTACGAATTAATTCCAACACCTAATATATAATTCTAAAAAAATTCTCACATTTCTATGAGAAGAAAATAAATAATTTTTGTCTCTGGCTATTTTTCTGTGAAGTTGATAGTACTCGAGCAAAAAATTATTAAAAACCAATATTCGGCAATTTTTAGTAATTAATATTTTGTTAACTATTGTGAAAATTGCAAAATGAAGAAAACTTTTCAACTTAGTTTAGTCCGCTCTACCAGCACACGAAATATTTGATGATCATTCTGGGACACCCTATGTGTGTATATATATATATACACATATATATATATATATATATATACATACACACACATATACATATATGTATATTGTATACATTTTTTACATATTTTTTAAATCTTTTTTTTTCATGCTTAATATTATTTAAATAATATTTCTCATGCTAAATATAAAAATTCAAATGAGAATAATTATATTGACATTATTATTTTCCGACTTTACAATCTCATTGATATACAAAATGACAAATATCCACACGTGCCAATTTTACTATATATTTTGCTAGTAGGTTAAGTATATATAATAGAATAGTATGAGTAATACGTTTGCTATATACATAGATATCAAAATTAAATTTGTAACAAATATAGCATATGATTTCAATGCAACAAGAAAATGCAATTGTGTCAAATTGTAAATAGTCTTAATATATATAAAATATATGTATAATATATATATATACAAATATTCCTACAAATAATTTTTACAATAAAAGTATAATAAATAATCATAAAATAAAAAAATAATAAAAAATACATAATTACTCATAGTTTATTGCCTGTTCTAAGAATACAAATTGTCAACAAATAAAATAAAACATATTGCGTTTTATACTATCGTTATCAAATTCATAACAATATATATGTAATATACTTTATATTTTGAAATTATTACACAGTAATCAAATTATACAGTAATCAAAATTTAAAACATCCGGAAACACACATTGATAAAATAATCGGCAATATAATTATCTCGGTATATCCATATGCTGTCCCAACGCCGATTCTCCCCTCGAGCGATTTATGAATTAAAGTTATCGTTTCAAAACTCGTATAGCCTTATAAGGAGGGGACAAAGAATACCGTCGAGGGTGGAAATGAATATCGATGGTACGAATAAACTCGTAGATCTGATTGTAAAATCGATCCCAAGCAATGTAAAGAACAAATGTGAGGATCGTGAGATAAGAGAGCGCAAAAAATGGTAATAGCCTAGAAATTTGTCCAAAATCAGTTGGGACTCACTCGGCCGTGTTGTCATCGACAGGTAGCCTCTCATTGATAGCATCGTCATCGGAGTACCTTTCATAATCGAATACTGTGCTCTGCTCGTAGACCTTTTCGAAACTGGACAAGTCCAAGGTGTCGTCCAGGCAATCCTGCAGATCGTGTGTCACTAAGATATTATCGAAATTGCTCTCGATACCGTCCGCATTCTCATCCTCTTGAAACTTGTCGCTCTCCCACATCGCCATACTTTTTTGGGGCTGCGCGACAAACAAATCGCGCGACCAGCTCTCCGTCTGCGTTCTGACATAACCTACAATTCTATTGCGATACGATCGGCAAGGTAGGCCGCTGATGAAATCTCATTATCGATACGGAGAAAGATGTAGTCGAAGAAGAACTGATAACGATCACCATATGATTGATGTAATTCATGTCAAGGTGGAAAAACACAAGAGACTCTGTTCTTTTTAGCTGAATTTCTTGTACAGTTCATCTTTCTTCCTTTTTTCTCCACGTTGAAAAGAAAAAGAGAAAAGATAAACCGTGCAAGAAATTTAGATAAAAAGAACAGGCCTGAGATGAGCCATTCCTGTAGATGCGCAGTAGCTTAAAAGTAGTGGGGAATGAACAGCCAATCATGAGGCACCCATTTTATGAAAATCCAATAATGATTGTGTTCTCTGCAATTTTTTGACACATTTATGTCAAAAACAAAAAAAAATGTGCAATCTCATTTCTGTTTAATAATAATGTTAAAGTTTGTAATATTTTTATATTTTAACAGTTTTTATTAATAAATCATTGTTATTTTAATTTTCAATTCTGTGTTTTTATTAGTAATCATCTGTGAACGCTTGAAATCTGCGCGTTTAAAATGGGCTCCCCCCATTGGTTGACAAGTTCCCCCCCTATAAGTTCCCACTCTGCCACCATTATGCGCAATGGCATCTTGTTTCTTTCCACTATAGTTCATATCAATAGGTCTGTTCGATTGGTTACACTTTTACACTTAACATCTTCACTTTCTCTTTTTTTAGCGCCAAATATATATCTATCTCATTTTAAGTGTAAAAAGTGTAAAAAAGTGTAAGCAAATCGAACAGACCAAATGATCTGTTCTTTACAGCTACACTTTCTACACTCGAAAGTGATAAAATTACACCTATAAGTGTGAGAGGGAAAAAGAAAAACTGAAAAAGACAAGAATTACAAGAGACAATTTTCAGCTCGAAAAGAACAGACCTAGCATTTCTTCCTTTCTCAAGTGAAGTACAAGAGCCATTTAAAATAAGTGCCATTTAATCGCTTCAAGATGATGTTCTCCTCTTAGCAGTCTATATGCATTTCGTATGAAAGAGTACCTTCTCGTGTGAAAGAATACGTTCTACCTCTATTTTCTACAAGTTTTACGGACGAGTTTTACGTTAATCTCGTCTTTGTTACTTTTTATTGTATACTCCACTCGAAAATGGAAGACGTATGTATTTTCGATAAATGAAGGAGTTTCACACAAAGACATCGAGAAATTTGACATTCTTTCATAAGAATTTTACAAAGTTTCTGGAGCAATGGATGAGAAGCAAACAGAAAATCCGTAAGTTTCAAAGAAAGGCTCCACTAAAAGATCCCGTATAAATATATTTTTACTATTCTGTTCTTCTCTTTTGGTTTTCTTAGGTTATAAAAATTATTTAGTTTATAATAATTATCGCCGTTCTAATTCACTTGCAAATATTAAAATATATTAAATCTTGAAAAGAATAAAAATTATTTTGTTAAGAAGAATTAAGAGCAGCTCAAATTTTTCAGAATCTCCAAAGATCATTTAGACAATACTAATGTACCTGTGATAACAGCTGATTTAGAGATGCTTACTATAGATATTAATCCTCCACCTACAGAAACCAAGAGGATTCTTAGGAAAAGGTTATCTAAGCCTTCTTCTGTAGAAAACGATTCTATAGAAATGGTTAAACGAAGGTAATATTTGAAGCTTCCAGAGATATTTTCTTTAAAGAAATTATGATTAATCTCTGTGATACATCATTAAATGCCAATGTTTTATAAACATTGCAGTTTATTTCATCAGGGTAACTGATACTTCGCCATATATCTGAGGATTGATTACGTATCTTGAAACGATGTAAAAGTGAACGAACTTACTACAATATTTATAATTTCATTAATTAACTACTTAATAAGTTTATTCATCTTTGTAATTTTCACCTTGTTTCAAAATAAATAATCAATCTCCAGGTTCTCACCTCGATGAAATAAACTGCAACGTTCATGAAACAAAACATTCAATAATGTATCAAGGCATAGAGAGACATATAACTTGTAAATTGCTTAGCATTCTTTGAAGATAATTTTATATTAGACTGTGATATTTTGTCATATGTGTCTAATAATACTTTGTATATAAATAAGGTGCAGCTTGAGACCAAAAAAAAGAAGGATCTATGAGGTGGAGGAGACAGAGGAAGAAATTGTCAAGGAATATTATTTAGACAAAAAAATAAATAAGAAATCAAATAATCTTGAAACAATATTTGAAGAAACCCAGAATTCCGACGACGACACTACAATACGTATGAGTGCGAAGAGATTTAAGAGAATGTTGATGTTTGCTCCTACAGCTTCCAAGTTGAAGAAGAGACGTGCAAAGATACAAAGAGTTTTTGGATCTAAGGTTAGGTACAAGAGATGTGGATCGATGCAGGCTCTTATAGATAAATTAAATACCATCAGAGAGAATTCACCAATGAAAATTGACAGTGAACTCAAATGATACCAGATTCCTCGATGACATATTTAAATGCCATTTTTTTAAAGAAATTATCTGAAGAATAATATGTTATGTATACTTCAGGATTTCATTAAAAAAATGTATCAGACTTATTTTATAATCACATTTAAGGGATAATATTTAGATGGAGAAATTTACATTTCCATCTACTAAGAATGTTATACTATATAGAATTTTCTGTGCAGGCATTTATTCGATTCTCGTATTGTAGATTTACATGTTTCGAATTATAAGAATGTAAGGACCATAATGTGTGATAATTATATTTCTATTTGCATATTTGAGATTTATCTCGATTATATTAACAGCAATATATATCATATAAGAAGTAATAATGTATCTTTTATTTCTTTAAGTACTAGTACTTCCTCATTGCGTCTACATTGAATTATGATAAAAAAAAGTAATTCATTTTGACACGTCTTAAATTAGTATGTCTTCTTGTTTCTGAAATCGTAATTTAAGCTATTAATGAGGAGATCAAAACCTTCGGTATTGTTCGTACCATACGTTGCATTTTAGTTTAGATTCAATTCAAAATTTATATACATCCATTTATTATTAAATAATAATGGAAATATACATTTTTTCATAAATATATTAAATTCTATGTACTAATATAAACAACTTCTATGAAGTGTATAATATAAACAATTTTTTTAATCTCTAATGTTTTTTCAATATTAGGAATGGAAATAAAGACTGATCATTTAAAAATTTAAATACAAAACTTCATTGTTTTAGGGATGAAATTTAATTTTTTTAAATGTCATGTTTCATTATGTATATCACATAATTATCACATGTATAATGAGACTTTGAAATTTATTTTAAGATCGGTATATTGGCGATTGTGTATTTCTTATCTAGAGTATTACTAAATGTTATATAAAATCTTGTATTCTTATTTATTTGTACTCTTATAAAAGGCACTAATCGTAATGAATATACAAAAAATTATAAGAATTATACAAAAAATATGAAAAATTATATAAAGTTAATAGTTTATATTAAATCTATGTATTTTCGCATTGATATTATATAAATATAAAATTTGAATATATCTTAAATTCGGTAGATAAAAACACTATATAATACTTCCTCACATCACATCTTATTCATCCCCAAAATGCATTTTGTCGCGTACTTATCACAGCCATCGTATTCTTTAAATCTAGCTTTATTTTCTTCGTATTCCTTACTATCTAATTTAATACAAGTACATCTAGATGAACTTTGTGCAGTCTCGAAAAACATTCTTGGTACTCCCACCCAATCTCTATCAATTCCACCGCTTGTTAAACAAAAATAAATCATATAATTACATATTAAAAGGTTTACTTAATATATTTCTTTAATTTTTCTTTAATATGAAAACAATGACTATTAAACAACTTCTTACCTTCTTTCAGTACACCAGAATACAGTACCAATATCTAGATTCCATTCTACGTTACAAGGTGGGAACATTCTGTTTTGTGCCTCTTCCAATGCTTTCTCCTTTTTAAGAAGTAATAGCTTTTCTTGTATCTTATAAAATTCTGTAGTTGGGCTACCATCTTGATTATAGTATCTACCATATAATTTTCCTAAAGAAAATACAAAATATTTTAGAAAGTATCACATGCGAGTTGATCCATCTCATGCAATGTCTACAGAACATAAAACATTTTTTGCAGTAAAAAGAGATTAAAATATACCTTTCCTTTCTTGCTGAGCAGATTGATAAAATATTATAAAATTATTTTGGCTTTTAGGACAATTATTCTGAGATGGATCAACTGTTCCTATATCCCATGACAGTTTAAATAATTAACCTTTGTAAATATAGTTTGTTTTATAAAATTGTACCCAATCATTCAATGCTTTTACTTGTTGCATCGATAAACTAGATATGTCGTCTGTTAAACCTTTATCATCAAATTCTCCAGTGATAAATGCCAAGGAAGCATCACGACCTACAAATAAATAAAATTAATTTTATATATATATATAAGGAACCTAATTACCAGTGAAAGCATGATAACTTCTTCCAGATCCATAATGTTTTTCTCCTTTCGTTACATCGAAGACTTGACCTAAGATCGAAAGATATAAACCGTTCTCCAGATTTGTATATCGTTCTAATTCGCTTATAGTGAATATCTTTGACCCGCCAGAGTTTTCATTTAAACCAAAATATATCGTGTCAGCTAAATTTAATGTTCCTTCCATTAACTGAGACTTGATCTTCTCATAAAAGCCGCGCGAATATAAGAAATACACGATCGCCAATAGCAGCGATAGCCAAAAATATTTGGAAAACATAATTACGCTATTTACAAACGCTCGTGAATTCCAGCGTGGACTACTCCGATTTCTGATGATCTTCGATGATCTACCATGTTAAATTACAGAATTCTGTATTACCGGCCAGAGATCGTATTATTTGAAATTGTTGCTAGGTTAGAATATACAATTATCTTGTAGCGAATCAATATGCTTGACAAATTTATTGTATGTACAATTGAAATATTAACCTAAATTATTATTATTATTATTTTCATCTGCAAGATGAAATATAAAATACAATGTAAGTATAATATTCACACTTTATGATTTTACTTGTAAAATAATAACAATGCAAAAGTTTTTATAGATTTAAAATGTTGTCTTAAATTTATACAATTTTTTGTATTTTTTGTAATCTAATATTCAGTAAAATTAATACCTCTTTAATTAGCAAAAATACAAACATAAAAATACAAAATTTTGTGTAAAATTAATTATAAGAATACAATATCATAAAAGTATACGATCAGTGAACATTTAAATTATATATTTACTCCATAAAGAATTATATTAGAAAGCAATTGATATATTAATTAATAAAGTTCTACAACAAAGATAAGGTCAAGATTTAAAAAAATAATATATATAAAATAAAAGTATATAAATACTGTTAAATTAATAGTTTAAATTTTATAAATATCAAAACAATGGAAATATTATCTGTCGCTTCCATAAAATCAACACATAATGCATATTAATAACACAAGTTGAAATTAATCGTAACACGTACTACATGTGTTGTTCAATTGATATGTAGCTTTATAATCACATATATTGTATAATCATAGGCGCTCGATGCCGCGCGAAATGAACACATAAATCACAATATTATGACAGATTCAATTGAGTGAACGAAGATATTACGAACGAAAAATAATTAATTCTCAAGTGTGTGGGCTCCCGATCAAGAAGGTTGAATGAATAATTAAAGATATCAATTCCAATAATTTTTTCTTCTATTTCTGCATTCCCATATATAATAAAACTTGGTGATCAATGAAAACAATTAACAGTATGTTCAGAAAACCAAAAATAGAATCTAAAAAAGAGAAGAAAGCAATTAAATCTGAAAAATTATCCAAAATTCGAAAAAGGGAAAGAAAATAATTTATTTGCCAACTTAACATATTTACTCCCAGAATGATTAAATAATACATCTCAGAAATACAGTCTGTCAGAAATAAGAGTTTTTATATAAAATAATTATTTAATCGGATTCGAACTATCCAAAACTCATTTTTTTTTTACATTTTAGTCCAGCTTTCTGATCAAACAGCTTCCAGGTTGTCACGAAACACACACGATCAGCTCGATTGTTTTATCTGACTGATAAGCGGCGCACACATACTTGAGTTTACTTGTTTCTGCTAGTTGATACTACGGTAACCACCGGTACGCCAGGGTGACGGTGAATGACGTTTGAGAGATGTTGGAGGACGGTGGTCACGCTTGGTTAACCAAGACAATCGGGATCAACGGTCAGTCGTGCGCCAGCGTGTATCCTTGTTGCACCGGGAGTCGTGCACCCGCGACTTTCCTTGTGCTTTCTATCATTCGCGCGCCTCGCGTCATTTCGCTCCTCGCCGATACAGCATAAAGTGGTTTGTCCTCTATCGCGTCCCAGATTGATTGAAGATTGTGACTATTGTGGCATGGATCGGTTTTCGTAATTAATAAGTGTTTTATTTCACTGCACACTGTTTCGCGCGGCTGTTATTTTATTATGTGTCGTTAAATGAATTTAACGGTGGTGTTTACATACGATTTCATTGTGAAAAGTTAATGAGACGAGACGCTGAGGGAGTTAATTTCTATGCTGCTTACGTTGGGATAAAACTTTGTAAAGTCGCACATATCGATTTCCTAAAGAACCTGTTTAATTAAATTTATAAATTGTAACTTCGCGTTTTATAAAAGATGGCGATAAATTATTATTAATGAAAGACAGAGATTTAAAAATATTAAAGAAAAAGTTAAGAAAAGAGAATCATTTCTTTCTGCTGGAAAAATATGGGTATTAATAGTATCTAACTTGATCCAAATGGTCATATTAATTTTTTCTTTAATTTCTTTTCCTCAATAAAAATAGAAATAATGCAGTTTCATATTTCTTCCTTATTTTCTGAATGCACTAACTGTTTATGACACTTAAAAATTCACTCTGACGAAAATAAGAAAGAGAGAATTAGAGTGTAAATTATATAAATATGAAAGAAGAGAATAACTGAAGCGTAAACGAAGTTTCTAGGAGGCGAAAATTGAGACAACGAAACGTAACTCAAGCGGAACAAGTTAAAATGACATTAAAATGAATCGCAAATGATTGAAAAATGACTTTTAATGATTATTTTGACATCATTTTGATCATAATAACTTGTTGTTCTGCTTGGGAAACGTAAGCGTTTACACTTCTGTTACTCTCCTCTTATAAGATAATGTATATATGACTCCCAATTATTATTCAAAATAACAAAAATTTTAAATATTTTTTACTAATATTATTATATATATACGGCTCTAAATAAAATCGTCTTATTAAATTTTGATAAACAACAAATTTATTTAGAGGCGTGCTTACATATCATTAAAAGCTTAATATTTAAAATTTTTGTCATTTTGTCCACTAAGTGAGTTATATTCATTAACTGTTTGCTATAACTAGTACATTTATCTCATTCGACTTATGCTCCAATTTCTATTTTTACCAGTAGTGAAATTCTGTAACTCATTATATATAAACATATACGTGTGACATATTGCTTTTTATATAAAATATTACATAATTGCTTTTTATATAAAAGTAAATCAATGTTATATAAAAGTAAGCTCTGTCATTATAAATATATAACGACTGCATAATGAGTTACTGCAATAGAATACAGGAGCTAGTTAAAAAAAAGTTATCATCATAACAAATCAGCAAGTGTCTTCGTCCTATTCAGTTTCGCACCATATCTTCGCAAAAATACCGCAAAGAAGGACATCATCGGACGTGCAAATAATACCTAAGAATTCAATTTGTCTCGGTCAGTAGTTGCTTAACGTACACTCAGGATAGAATGAACGGCGGCGAGCATTATGCGCAAGTTATCGCGACGGCTCGCGTTCGTCTTGCTCACCAGTACGACAGCTGCGATTTTCTGCACGCTATTACTACCTTCGGGTTTTCTCACCACCTACAGAAGATCTTCCGCATCACGGAAAGAACAGGTGTTCACAAGAGAAGAAAAACAAGAAAATAGAGGGTCCGTCTCTGCTACAGAATTACCTAACACGCAATTCGCGAGGACGGCTTCCTTGGATGCGAACCTCCTTGGAAGAGGTTTCACTGATAAACAGGTAAAATGTTGTACCATCTTATATTGCTATGCAATCTTTTATCCTTTACGAATCAAATTAATTCCGTTATTATGTTAATATTAGAATGAAATTATATATAACAACGCTAATAATAATGATAATTTCTATTATTTGAAGCATTTTATGGAAATTGATATAGATTTGCTAATTGTAACTATTTAAAAACATAAATCGTGATGATATTAAAATGATTCCAAAATGTATGTGTGATCTAAAATTTATATTTCAATCATAATGCATTTTAATGTCATCTTCACGTTATTGTAATTTGTTTTACATATATATATATATATACACACACACACACACACACACACACACACATACATATACACTCTTGAGTGTTATTTTAAATTTTTTAAAATTATGCTAAAACTACATCGAGGAGTATTACGTAGTAATCTACCTCGGTAGAGAATCGTACAAGAAAGACTAACAATGCTTCGTTTGTTTGCTAATGCGAAATGTCGATAAAACATTTATTAGCAATTATTATCTATTCGCATTTAATATCTATTCATTATATTAGGAAAAACTTGGATAAATGTTATGGCGTATTTTTTTCAGGTAGAGAGTATATCTCTTCTCGGAAAATGGTTATTGGCGCCGGAAGGGAGTTCACCCCCTCAGTCGAACGCCACCAATAAAACTTATTTGATCTTGATTTGGAAGCATGGGCAATTTCTGGAACGTAGACACATTAGACATTTCACATCTATCAAGTTAGAAAATTTTAAATTCTCTTTCTTTTTTAACAAAAATAATTCTAAACAAGGATATACAAAATAATACAAGCCGAGGATGGTATTTGCCATTTGTTGTTTCGAACAATAATTTTTGCTTATAAAGATTTAAAACTAATCGATTAAAAATTGTATAATCAATTTTTATTTTATCAGGTTTTATCAGTACTTTATTTTATCAGTTTGTTATTCATATAACAATTTAACTTGAAATTCATTTTACGAAAATATTGAATTAGAACGAAAATTCATAGCATCTCAAAATTTAAAATTATAGTAACTAAAATTATAGTAAAATTATAGTAATAATTATAGTAATTATAGTAAGCTATAGTAACTAAGTTAAAAATGAATGAAATTTAAATTTTAAGAAAAGATTTTAAAGGTTTTCTTTTATTTCCCAAAGTTTACTATGTTTTTTGTGTTTTTGTTCGGTAATTTTTTACATATAGGAAACAACGAACTAGATTAGAAAATGGGAAATTTTCTTTTCATTTTGTGGGTCTATCATGTCCCCAAAAAACTAGCAAATTTTCAACTTTCTAATGTGAAAGCTTAAGGTTTACTTTACAAAATCATTGTTTAAAAATGTTCCTAAGATTTTTTGTTACTGAGCAATCGCGATGAGACTTATCGCGAATTAAAAAAAAGAAACATGTTAACTTTGATTACTCATAACTCTGTTAAAAATTATTGTACTGAAATTCAAAACAGATTCTTAAAACTGAAACTTTTTGTTTCAAACCAATAAAAAATTCGTTCTAGATTGATAAGAAAATATATCAGCCTTCGGCTAAAAAGATAGTAATCGGTAAAATTGCGGTCACGCGATTTATGTCTGTTTCTATCAATATAGATTAACATTAATTTCAGTTCAACTTGCTCTTCAGGTTTTTCTCATTCTTAAAACCAGAAAAAATGAAGAGTTAGTTGAATCAAGATTTATATTAAACTATATTGGTAGAATCGGGCAAAGTGACTTCAATCAAATTCCAATTCATTTATTCAGCACTATTAAATAATAGATAAAAAACGAATAAAACTATTCAATTAATAGAATTATTAATACAATATATCGAAAAAAGACTAAGAACGAACTGTATACTAGAAATTTTGTCTTAAGCGATTCTGCCAATCAGAATAAATTAATCAGAGTTTGGTTGAAATCGCCTTTACTTTCACAATAAGCATCGACAGAGATTTACAAAATCGTATATTTTAGGTTTTCACCATGGGATCAATGTTCAGTACAGAATTGCATGCTAAGTTACAATGAAAAAGATCTGCATCGAGCAGACGCCGTACTATTTCATTTACACTTCACGAGAAATCCATCTGAATTACCGGAGAGAAGCCAGGCGAATCAACGATGGATCTTCCTGACAGATGAGTCACCTTTCCACACGTTTTTGCACAGTCCTCAAAGATTGTCGAACTACGATGGTCTGTTCAACTGGTCTATGTCATACCGAATGGACAGCGATGTGCCGGTTCCCTATGGAAGAACAATACAAACCTCCGAAAACTTTTCGGCCGAACATTGGAACACTATTGTGAGAACTTCCAAGAGCAAACTGGTCGCTATAATGGGCAGTAATTGCAGTGGTCGTAACGAACGATGGTCCTACGTGAAGGCACTCAAGTCGTTGCTTCACGGTGACCTGGACATCATCGGAAAATGTCTAGATGGCAACAGAACCATTTGTCCTGGTCATTTCGACAAGGACTGCGCCGCTTTGGAGTCATATAAGTTCTATCTGTCGTTCGAGAACTCCAATTGCCGAGAGTACTTGACGGAGAAGGTGTTTTGGAACGCATACCGTAAATTCGCGGTTCCGATAATAATGGGAGCATCACGGCAGGACTGTCTGCGATTGTTGCCACCGCACTCCTTCCTCCACGTGGACGATTTCGCGGACGTCAACGCGCTCGCTGACTACATCAGGTATCTGGACCGCGACGATGAGCGTTACTTCGAATATCATGAGTGGCGCAATCATTATCGGGTGATCAACGAGCACGGCTACTTCGGCAGCGTCTCCAGGCACTATTGTCGCATATGTGAGGCATTGCATTACAACCCTGCCGTGCCGAAAGTCTACACGAATCTCGAACACTTTTGGAGTAAGGAGAGGGACTGCGTTCCAGCGAGTGCTTGAGATACGAACACAAAGAAAACAGATTTTTTTGCTTTCCGACAATTAACATCAAGTTTCCTGCTTTAACACGTATTTACTGTGTACTTCTCATCCATGCTTATTGACGCTGATTGTCGGAAGGTGAAAAATCTGCTTCCTTTGTATTTATTGCTGCTTATATATCTTTAGACAATTCTTTACGATCATCTAGTCTTTCAAGTGTGTAGTCGTGAAGTGTTGATGAATTAATATATACGAATCAGTGGCTTGGAAACTTTAGCAATAGACGGCGTCAGTAGTTCAATGTCGAACTATCGAAACTTTCAAATGCATTTTAAATTTATAAAAATTATGGAAAAAAGGATAAAATTATTGTTGTAAGTCGATATGATTATTATTAATTTGATATTCTTAATTACGATAAAAAAAGTTCCTGCATTTTTTAAAATAAGAATTGAAGAATTATTTATAAAATCCTTAGAAAATAGCTGCATATATTATTTCATTATAATTTATTTAATACAAGCAACAACATTTAATAAATGCTTCTGTATATATTATAAATATAAAATAAAACTAATAATTGTACATTAAAAAATACATGATAAATATTATAATTTTAGTTAATGATTGATACACATTACTGTTATGTAAAATTAATGGAATTAAAATATCTGCATGTTAAAAATAGGCCTGCCCTTTTTAGCTAAATATCAGATAGTTCATGTTTTTTTTTCAACTTGAGAGAAAAAGAGCACAGATGAACCGTGCAAGAAGTTCAAATGGAAAGAACAGATCTAATTATACTCGTATATAACAGATTCATATTTGCCGCTTGAAATGGACCTGTGCGTATGAGAAGATTTGATCGTTATGACGCATTTTGTTAAAGTCCGTGGAAAATCTTTCGGATCGATACGAAATGTATCCAGAAGAATCCCCTCTCATTTACGCGTTCATTAAAATTCGGAACGTTCGTTAATGATACCTTGATGCTTAAGAGAGTCTTTCCGCAAGTTTTTCGAGATTTCGGGAATCACATTTGAGAAGGTAGACGAGTTGATGCCGTGACTAGAAAAAATAAGGATTTTAGGAAAAAGAGAGAACAAGACTTGTGAAAGCGCGCGATGCAACGTTAGCAAACGCTAGACGGTGACGCGTAGACGTCGTCACCAGCGGAGAGAGGGACGGTGCACGCGGAGCGGAAGTAGAGAAGCGATAGACGGCGACTCCGTACGTTGCAAATGGCAGACGGTGCGTAATATATCTGGATAGAAAACCATCACTTTGTTTGCGTCGCGTTCCTTCGAGATCGTCTTGTTGCTCATCGAGGAAGCGGACAGAGTCATCCCGTAGCCGCTCGTCACGTCTCGTGCACATAGGTCACGTCAATCAGATCCCTAATTCGCAGGAAGGTAGCGGACCGGCGAGCGAGCGGGCGAACGCCTTGCGAGATCCGACGAAAAATTGCGAGAAATCCGTGGTACATCTCAGGATTAAACGACCTCGAACGGAAAGGCGGACAATGGCGAGGCTGGTCAATGTTTGGCGAGACGACGAGCCGGTGAAGTTGGCCAGCAAGCAAATGCCGCTGATCGTCGACGAGAACCTGACGGTGAGCGCGCGCGCACGCCCGCGCCCGCGACGCTAATTTCTCTGACCGTCAACCGGCGCGATTCCTGGAGCAGCGATATCGTTTTACGGATTATCGTTCACGTTTCGTACAGGAGGCCTTTAACCGAAAACACATTACAGCCAGGTGTCAGAGAGGTGGGGGAGAAAAAAAAGAAACAAGAATGCTAGGTCGCGATTTTGTGAAGAATCTGCAGTTCTTTTGTCACGATCAATTTGCGATCGTACATTGTCAGAATATCGAACGAACCAAACACGTCGTTGCCGACTGCGACAGAACGAGTATAACTCGACGATTATCACGTCTTTCTCACACCTGCATTGTATACATATTCCTGTAGGCGATCTCTCTACTTAATTCGATTATCAATCCTTTGCATAAGATAGATAATGTTATTGCAGATTATTTTCTTTATATCGCGTTGGAGAGAATATTCTTAGCCAAGCTAGAACGTGTCGAGCAAGAACTTTACTTTGTCGTTTCTAATTGTCATCGAGTCGAATGTGAATTGTTAGTTGATCTGTAATTTCCTCTGAGATTAATTTGTCACTGTGTTTTTTTAGATGATTATGGATATAACTGGTTTGGGAGCTATCTGTGATAATCCCTTGATCAATGGTAAACAACTGGATGAGTTTACAAAGAAATTTGCATTACTCACAGTGGAAGAAATCAAAACATCTTTTGCAGTTACTTGCAAGAAGATAGTTGAAATCTTGAGCGCCGCAGAACCATGTGTCGGCTGCCGAAGAAGGTAATTGTCTCTTTTATTAAAATAATTGAAAATAACTTTTTTTTTATTAGAATGATACATATTGTTGCTATTGTACTCGTAATGTAAGCAGACAAGGTATACCATTTCTGAGGATGCGTAATAGCAGAGTGAATTTTAGACCAAAATTTGATTGGCTATTCTAATATACCAGTGCTATTATACGCAGGAAAATGCACAGAGGCTAAAATTTGATTGATTGTTTCCAATACTGCTACTGCCATTATTCACAATGGTATACCTTGTATTTTTACATCATAATTATATTATTAATACTTGTTCCCACTAAAACAGATTAAGTTTAGTCTTACTCTATCTTTTTCTAATTCTAATTATTAGAAAAAAATGAAGAGTAAATTGAACTGAGATTACACCCCTTTAGTGCATACAATAATTTTCCAATTCTTCTTCTTTATTACACACAGTGGATAATTCATGTTCTGGGTTAATTTTCGTTATTTTAACAAATGTACAAAAATTAATACTTAACTGTTGTCGTCCATTGGAATTTTTCAACATCTATCAGTCTATTAACATACCTTAAATAAGGATTAATATAATACTAATTTTTAGTTTTTATTGTTAATTTTGATTATAAAAATATAGATAAATGAGAGTTTAAAGATCAAAAAGATATAATAAAAATATTTCCAAGATTAATGGTTTCTTCATGACATTAATGATTCTTAAATATACTTTATCATCTTTACAAAATATTTATAAGGTTGTGTAAAAAAATTATATATAAATGTTGTAACTAATTACTTGATGTGCTTAGTTTTTCAAAGAAAAGAAATGTGTGAGACACAAATCCAATTGTATATAAGGGTTAAAGTTAATGTATATTGATGCAAAACGGGTATAAATAATAGTGAAATATTCTGGTTTCGGTAGTCTAAAGGCTTAGGACGCTCGCACGGAATGCAAGAGATCCGGGTTCGACTTCCGACTGAGGCAATATTTTTCGCAATAAGTTTATTACAGTTTTTTAAAATTAACTTGGGAAATTTGGGAGGATTATTAATATTTCAGATTGATTGCGTTGAAAGTCCAACAACCATATCGGCACGCAATTATCATTTCTGAAATTAATTCATTTATATGAATATATATAATAGCTCATCTATAATAGCAACATCTTAACATTCAGACCGCAGCGGCGCTTCGTATTTAAAGTGAAATATTCTGTGTTTAGTGTTGAAAGATTATTCACTGATCTGATGAAGTCAGGACATCCTGCATTAGATCCTCTGGTTATCACTCCTGATGGTGTACTTTCTATAAAAGATGATATTTTAAAATCACCTCAGCAGCTCTGTACATTGTTACATGGACACAGGTACGCAAATGATCACAAGAATCTCAGTTCAAACACATTTAGAAGAGTTATTTACATTTACTATTTACGTCTCTGCAGCACTAGGTTAAATAATTTAATGGAAAGACAACAAAGAAATAGAAAGTCTCAACGATGTGTATTGCATACTCTGGAAATTCAGCGGTTGCCACCGATATGGAATTCTTGGAGGGAAGTGTGGGATTGCATGGAGCTACCATGTCGACAGGAATTGACTTTAATAGAGACCGATACGCTTGATGAAGCTTTAGATACTTATTTGCGTAAACATAGGTATGTAATTTCACATAGATTATCCGTAATGATTTTATAACACGATTTTGGTGATCAGATTTTGCGCCGAGTGTCGCAATAAGGTGCTATTGGCGTCGTCTCTCCTGACTCGAGAACCCGAGCCTATAAAAGAAAAAGGTTACGTAGCAGTTTTATATTCTGGAATTAAGCGTTGCTACCGCGATCATCACGTTCATTTACCACCCATCACAGAATATATGACCACTCTCCTTGGTCGCGCACAACCATGGGCACTTATGGGAAGGTACAGATTTTCAAAAATACATTCTCTGGTAATGTTTAGTGAAAGGAGTAATAAGAGATGTTTCCGAATTTCAGAGAGCGCCACGCGAAAACGCTGGAAATTGCTCAAGAAGAAGTACTTACGTGCTTAGGTATATGTATTGCAGACCGACTACACAAAATACATCGACGAATGAAGGAAGAAGAAACTGTGTGCAAAGTATTAGCTGCTGTTGCAGTGGATGCATTGTCCAGAAACTTTCAGGTAACAAGATCTTGTATAATAATATCCTCTATATCTTTTGATATTAGAAAATTTTATATTTATAACAAATTATTCTATAATATTTTGATTTATTTAGTCGGCGATTGAAAAGAAACAAGGTATCTCTCAATTGGAATTATTCTACAAGCAAGTTGCAAAGGAAGAACTAGCGAAACAACACAAACGTGAAAAATTACGTCTTAAACGTAAGAAGAAGAAGGGACGTCGCAATGAAATAGAAGAAAAGGAGAATTCCCGTGATGTATGTTTGAACTTGTGTGCAAGACTTGAGTTTTTAAAAATTTATTCTTAATTTCTCGGGTTATACTTATTTAAGTATGCCACTAAATTTACTTGTTTACCAGCACGTGGCTAAGTTGTATATTTTATCGTAGTGTTCAAATGAGAGATCACAAAGTGACTCCCCCTGTACCTGTGTAGAATCAAAGCCGATGACACAGAACATCAATCGGCATAAAGTAAATAACGAGACTTATTGAATTTTATATACATATATATATGTGCGCCTCTGTATACTATCGCTTCCTTTTGCACTAGTTGCAGGTCCTAGATCCAAAAAACAAAGGTCCACCGACGTGTAAATGTCCAGATTGTTTAAAGAAGCCAAAAACACATAGTATATCACAATCGCAAAGTAAGACAGAACTAGCATTCCCTGTGAAAAAGGGTTCACAGAAAGTTAAAAAGAACACTTCCGAAACAAAGAAAAATCTTAATATAAGTCAATCGAAGCAAAATAGTACACCTTGTAAACAATTATCTCAAGAGGATTCATCCGATGTTTGCGAGTCGTGTAAGGTAACTATAATTGTCAATTTCGTATTGCTGCCATAGATGTATTAAATTTTCTAAAATAAAACGTTTTTTTTTTATTTTTTTCTCACGTTAAGGAGGGTGAGAAAATCGATGAGAATCAGTGGCGTTATGACAACAATTGTAAAGATTCCATGACTAACGAGCTGGTAGATGCGTGGATAACGGAGCCAAATGAAAATAAATATACTACGTGGATGGTAATGAAGAAACGTTTCGAAATGTCTGAGAGAAAAAACCACACCTCAAGCGAACAATCGTCTCAAGATTGCGGATACTCTTCCGAACATAATATTAGTAGTTCTTCTCTTCCTAGCACACCGGAAGGTTCTGAAGTAGCTTGTAATGATGAATGGTGTGATCACGAAGGGACTTGTCATGATAAATTTAATCATTCCAATTCTAGCATCTCTTTATTGCAAAAAAAAGGTCCAACACTTACACAAATGTTAAAGGTAAATTTAAGATATGATAATCTAAATATTTAAGGATTTGTTTTCTCTATAAAGAAGCTTAATTTCGATATGACAATTGTTTAGGATTCCTGTTTTTCTGATGATGACGAGAAGGAGAGTTATATTCCAGTGGAGGAAGTATTAGAATTTAAGTCGAGAGAATGTCAAGTTACGGAGAAGCGGCAGGAACTCCGACAAATACTTAGAGAACGTTTTGCTATATTGTGCAGCCATCAGAAACCACTTAGCATTCTTCATTAAGAATTCCTACTACCTATGGTAATATATCTCCATCTTTTTCTTCTTTTTTTTTTACTTTGATTTACTGTCAGTAGTGAGACACGAATGTAATAGATGTATTTTGAAGAAACTGTTATCATTCGAAGTCGACCTGATGTGAATAAAATGCTGAATATATGTAATTAAGAAGCCAAAAACATTATACAATACTATTTATCTCTACGTGCAAAAATTGCATCTGAAAAATAAAAAATACTGGGAGATTGAATAGTTTCATATCTGATGTTAAACAATAACGTCGACTTTGAGAAAAGTACAGAAACACACACATAAATTGAGATACGATAAAACTAGTATACGGATCAACTTGAATTGATGTATATTGATGTATATCTCGAAATTAATTGTATAGATCTTTGCAATTTAAGCAAATAAGCATATTTTGAACGAACATGCCTTGGCCGTGAAAATATGGCAGATCTGATTCCGCAGTAAATGCCAGTTGTTAAAGACAAGTTTTTCAGTGATTTGAAAAGTATTGTATTTTCTTGAAAATCTTTATTTTCAAGAGTGTTTACGCGGCGCTATGACTATGGTGAATTCGTGTCAATGTTGTAACAAAAAGAGATGCGATATAATTTGTCGGAATCCTAATATTAAAATCAATGTTGCATTCCATTATAATATATATATATACATATATTTTATTATTCCGATGTATATCCTCTCTGTGTAACTTCTATTACACGCACTGTAAAAATATTCTATAAAAAGAATTATTGTCGTAAAATCGTACACATATATATTGTATGTTGCATAAAAGTTATTAAAAATATTTAAGCCGCTATCCACTGGTAATCAATTGTGTAAAATTCAATTCGTCACCGAATTTGCTTCTCTTAGATTTTTTATATATATTTACATATCAGTACATATTTACAGGAGTAGCGCCTCCTTTTCAATTGAACAGAAACATTAAAGAGTATATAGATCATCTTTTTAGGATTTTATGTGTTTATCCTTATATAAATATTTCAAGAAATAACTAGTAATTAATTATATTTGTAACTTCAAATTAGGTTTGATCCGATAATTGATCTTTTTTTTTTTTCTTTTTACTCTTAGACGTTCGCATCTTTATGAAGACACATGCTGTATCTTTTCCAAGCTAATGAAGATCGCAAAATAATGTAACTTTTTTCATCTTTTAAAATTAATAATAATTTTTGTTCTCCACTATCTTTTTAGAAATCTTCACCTTTCAAAGTTCATTATAGAAATCCTTTTGTAAATATTTTAAAGAGTGATTATGATATTCTTTCACTAAAAAGATAGAGTACACATTCCCTCTTGGACTTAGTTGACGTATTGTGTGAAGCACAAACATGCGTTCGTTCCACCGAAGCCGAACGCGTTTTTCAGGGCTGTTCGACGCGTTGTCGTGTTCCATTTCATTTTTGTATGCGATGCGAATCTCAAATCTGTCTCCATATTTAAATTGTGCAGATTCAACGTAGGCGGTATGATACTCTCCTTAATCGCCAAGATCGTGAAGGCGGCTTCCAAGTTGCCGGCAGCACCCAGCAAATGACCATGTGCCCCTTTCGTGCTCGTTATCGTTACGTTTTTACTGTGTTCACCCATCAGTGACTCAATCGCCTTCACCTCGATCGCATCACCCAGCGGCGTGGATGTGGCGTGCGCATTTATGTGCGTCACTTCCGAGGTCTCGATGCCGGCGTCCTTCAATGTCCGATCCATTGCTAGCAGCGCACCGGTACCATCCTCGCTAGGTGCTGTTATATGTGATGCGTCGCCAGACAAACCGTAGCCCAGCACCTCCGCGTAGATAGACGCGTTCCGAGCGAGCGCGTGATTTAGCTCCTCTAGAACCAATACCGCGGCGCCTTCGCCCATAACGAAACCATCGCGGTCACGATCAAAAGGCCGTGATGCCTCGCGTGGCATATCGTTCTTCGACGTGCTCAACGCGCGTAGCCGGCAAAACGCAGCTATAGCTAGTGGACTGATACATGCCTCGGCACCGCCACATACCATCACACTTGTCTCACCACCACGGATAAAACGGAATGCATCACCTGGAAGATGATTCATTATGATGGTTTCTCAGATATGAAAAGAGCGTTAAGTTAGGATAGCGATCATATAATTTTTTCCCTAAAGCGGAAACATGAAAATTATCATTGAAAATAATGGAGAAATTTTTCACTTCTCGTGTTTCGACTATAAGAAAAAAAAATTAATAATTAAAAATTAAGATAAGAACTGGCTCTGGGAATAAATCAAATAATAATACGATATTTAAAAAATCCGAAAGAACTAATGCAGATATTAATGCAATATGGATTTATTACAATGACATTTACATATTCAACAAATATAATTCGTAAACTTTTCGATCAATATCATTAGTCTTCCTTAGTGCTGTTAGTGTAATAAATATAATAATGTTAACAAAACATTGCGGATTACATTTGTTGATTATGTAAGTGTTATTATAATAAATCCGTATTGTGTACTATCCGCGTTAGCTCTTTCTTAAATTGTCTTATTATTAAAAAAATTATATAATCGCTACCCAGAGTTTGTTGTTTTCGCTCTTTATTTACCAATAGCATGCGCACCCGTTGCACATGCAGTCGATACTGAATGATTGGGTCCACGGAAACCGTACTTTATACTGATCTGACCAGCAGCCATATTCGGCAATATTCTTGGCACGAAGAATGGACTGATTTTGTTGTATCCCTTTTTCAAAGCTTCGTATGTCATGCACACATCCACTAGGTCTATCATGCCGATTCCTACCGAAACTCCAGTATCACGTTTATCGGCTTCATCGGTTGGTTTCCAGTTTGCATCCGTTAGTGCCTCTTCTGAAGCTATCAACGCATATGCGGTGGCAGAGCACATTGTGCGTAGCTCACTCTTCGTAAAGTAGGAATCAATGTTGAGCTCATGAGAAGAGTTTCCTTTCGGCACCAATGCAGCTAATAAATGTCAATTGTTACATAATTATTGCGTGCAATACAATTTTGAGCAATAGTTATAATATTAGGTACTGGAAGTCAATAAATGTTGTTTACATATAGAATAATTGTATGTAAACAAATTTCAACATGAGTGCAAGTTGGCAATAGTAGCAAATTGTCAAAATTTGCTCACCTACTTTACACGGTAGCTTATCGTAATCTGGTTCGGAAAGTCGCGCGATTCCGCATTTAGAATCGATAAGAGCCTTCCAAGCGTTTCGAGTCCCGACTCCCAAGGGACACACAGTTCCTATCCCGGTGACGACGACACGCCGCTTGGACCTCGCGGTGGTCGTTAATGACCGGCTAATATGCAAAAGTGGAATGGACATCGTGATTTTCGCGTAATATATATGTCGTTAATGATTGATTCGTCATGATCGTCAAAATGTAAAATGTGTTTATAAGGCACACCGTAAAACCAACTACATCTAGGTTAGGGCACAAGTAATGCCCAGCGCTATCGACTGTGCCAAGTGCCTGTAATGCCGTAAATAAACCGATAGACGTCCTGCTTTATCAATGTTTACCAATATTTTGAAAAATGTTTTATTGTTGAATCTTTTAACTTTATCTTTTCCTATTTTATATGTATTTTAAATGTAATATTACTATTAAATTTTTTAAATGTTATGTCTTAAATGTTAGACATGTAAAAAAATAAATTTAAAAAAATTGAAATTATTTAATAATTAAATAAATAAAACATGTAAAATATTATTAATTATGATATTAATGTCATTAAAATATTTTTTAATATTTTAAATGTAAAAATCTTTTTCCAATTTCACAAAGTCATATTTTAAGACATTACATAAGACAATTTTTAAACTATAAATATTAATCTTATTTTATATTTAAAATTTAAGAGATAAATAAGGAGTAAAAAATTTTTTAGAGATTTTAAAAAAATTTTTAAAATTGCTGACGCGCTTTCTCTTCCAAGTATATGTTGTTTTGATCTGTTTTGATCTTAACGTAAAAATAAAATCACTTGCAAAATGATTACAAGGGCATTGAAAATATATGATTTCATTATTGAAAATATAATAAAATGCAGAAAATACGATTAAAAACTTTATTTTGGTTTGCTTTGTAATTGGGAAAAATATATATATATTTATACATATACATATATATATATATATGTTGTATGTACCTGTAGGAACTTTGGGCTACAGATTATGTCAGGGACAGTCATCGTATAGGGTAACATATTAATTTAAAAAAATGCAAAACATGCGAATATGTTACCAATGGAATAAAAAAACATCTTACTGCTATACTAAATCTAACGTTTTTTTTTTGTTAAATTTACATGTACATATGCATTGGTAACAAATATAAAATGTTACATGTGTGATACATTCGTCTCAATATACGCAGGCCTGAATTGTGTTCACGCAGTCTGCATTTTTCTGCGTGAAACTCATGTAAACGAAGGTTAAGAAAATAACTGGACAGAGCTTATAGTAAATTAAAAAAAAAAACGGGTTTTAAAGGAACTGAAGTTATACGAAGAAAGAAAGAGAGAACGAGAGGAAAAAGAGAATATAAAAATATTATTAAAAAAGAGAATATTTCATTTTTATGCTTTATCAAATCAAATTGATAATGCATATATTTTTTAATATGACAATATATCCCAACAAACTCTAAATTATAGTATTCGTTAGTTGTTCACTAAAAATATAACTGTAATATACAATATGTGTGTTATATTAGTTATATTGTTGAGTAATATTACACATGTAACTTGGTGTTTGCTGAGATAGCATTTCATATATATATATATATATATACGTGGAGAAATTGATTTTTGTCAGACATTTATACATATTCAAAGTTGTTACAAAATAAAGATTTATTTACCTATATATAAATAAGATATATATAACATATATATAAATAAGATATATATATATATGTATATATACATATAAAATTATACATATATGTAAATATATATACTGAATATTTAACATACAGTACTTAATATTCGTTTATTGATTAAATGCTCCGTCCAGCAATTTCTTATGCCTACTATGTAAATGAAGAAGAAAATAGAATATAATCCATATCACACTACATGTAAAAAAATGCTCAAGTTATTTCTCTGACTTGAGAGTCCATGTCAAGGTCAATTATGGAAAATGAATCTTACATATAGGGGCGGATTGAGTAAGTGGAAAAAAAACTATCTATGGATATATATTTTGAAATAATTAATCATTTGCGAACAATATCTAATAATATAAAAGTCATAGTAAATTTTAGTGAAAAGTCAATTTTATTGAAAATTTGTTATAATAACAAAAGTAAACATGTTTTTATAACAAATTTACTTCGTTTATTATGACAAATATTAATTTTACATTGTTCAAATTAAATTTATGATTTCTACAATTTTTCTATAAAATAATTTCTAATAGATAGTAAACAGAAAGTATCTCTCGATATCTTTCAGAAAGCTGATGGCCAATCCGCCCCCGATCTTACACATGGCACGCGATTAATCGACGTTTTAAAATCTGACGCTGAATAACTCTCTTAAATTGTATAAAATTATATACAGCATCGCGTTACTTAGTATTGTGCTCCACTCCCACAAAGCGCCACGAAATTACTTATTCTCTTTCCCGCTCATTTTTCGAGCATTTCAAAAATTTTCGACTAGTGTATGTAGTAAAGTCTAAAAGAAAAAGAATTATACATAATACACAAGGCTCGTTAACCAATGACATCGATTATCGCGTCATCGAAATTTTCATCATCGAAAGAAGACAATTTTCATCATCTAAAGCTCGAGCAAAGTGCAAGAAAATTCACGAATTCATTCTGCAAAGAACAGAACGTGATAGCGTGAAACCTCCTTCAAGATGGGAGATCAGTAAATGCTTGTGATAAATAGGACATCATCCATTCGCTTCGACCTTTCTTTCTTTTTAATTAATCAATACGATCTCTTTTCGATTCTCTACGCATCTCATTTGTCTCTCAATATGAATTATATCCTTGAACTCCTTCCTTGACTAGATTCGTACTCAGTTATGTTGATATCTCTCGCCTGATGCCATTGTATACACCGGACATGCAGGGATCTCGGGAGTTAAACATTGGTCTTTGTTTTGCTATTCTCGGGCTCCGGAGGACAATGATCGGAGTGTGTCGCCCATGCAGCAAGCTGTCAATATTAAAAAGAAATACAATTCATTATTATTGATAGTCATTAACGTAAATCGTGAATATGAAAAAAATGATACATCATACGTAACTGTGCACTTGACATGACATGTACCTGACATGAACGACTACAATACCACTGATTTCCACATCCGGCACAAACAAACTGTGCAGGTCGAATTATGCATCCCTGACATTTTGGCGGAGCATTTGGTGAAGGTGGATTGTCCTTCACCATTTGTTTACCATCTCTTCCAATCACTGAGTTTCCTTTCCTATCATCAATTAGCGATGTTTCGTCCTCTACATCTTCCTAAAAGTTCAATGAAATGGTCAAACACCCACAAGAGAACGTGTTATTAACAAATCGAAAAAGAAATTTACCACTTGAATTAAATCGTTGGAGTGAGATTGCGCGGGAGTGTTAACGACAGGGGTTATAGTTATCTCTGTGCGAGCCTGGAGAAAATATCTTACATTACTAAAAAAGATAAATTTATATCTCGCCTAACTACTCACTTGACCAGAGTTTTTCAAGCTTTTATCTTCCAAAATTATATTTTTATATTATTTATTTTTATAAATTATTTACATTATTTATATGCTCTTATTTCTATTTATTTATATAAATTATATAAAATGAAGTTACGCTACTGGATATTCAAATGGTGTAACAATTACGACGTTTAAAAGAAACTGCATTTTATGCTAACGTAAATTACATAATTAAAATACGAAAAAAAGAATAATTAGAAAAAAATAAAAAAACAAAGAACCTTGGAAGAAGACAGGAGATCATTTATAGAAACCATATTAGAGCCTTGGTATGTCTGCAAAAGGTGCTGAGTCGTGGCGCTTGGCTGTGACATAGACGCTGACGTTGCCGCCGCCGCTGCTGCAGCCACCGGAGAACTCCTTTCTCTTTCAGGCGCAGTGAGTAATCTTGCTAAAGTAGGTGAAAAAGTCGAGGATCTCGGCGTTTGAGCTTTTGTTAGAATTCCATGGAGCAACGAGCCAGTTGGCTGAGACGTATTCTGGGCAGACGAAAGTGTCACAGGATGAAGCGTCACATCTGGATAATTCTGCGGTACCTTGGGTTCACCTAAATATAATATTAGAATATAGTTATAGTTTGGTGATCACCAAAACCGAATAATTACAAATTGTCTCTCTTCGGAAACAATATAAATTTAATCAATTAAAAAATTTCAGAAAAATGATGTTACCTTGCTGACTCAACTTAGCAAATTGTACTAGCATGTCTTTATAGTTCATGGGATCGTTCGTGCTTGGATTGCTTTTGCACGATTCTGTGCTAGACGGTCTTGAATCAGCATTGTGTCCAGTTTCAACCATGGCGCCGCCAGCACCGAGATTGATGTTCACGTTCGAATTTCTCAATCGTCGTCCTCTACAATTGGGAATGATGCTTAAGTGTCGAAAAAATGAAGTTGTTTTCATAAAAACACTGATTTTTTAATGCTACAAGTCCGTATAAGCAAATATTGCATATTATTAATGTAGCCTCAATCATTTTATTAATCAGAATTTTATATTTCCTTATCCAAAATTATATTTGCTATAAAAATATGTTTCCATTTAAAAAAAATTATTGCAAATCGATTTTAGTACAAGAAATTATAGTATGAAATTTGAAAAAAAAAAAAAAATTTTGTTATCTTATGAATAGCAAATAGAATCAAGGATGGTATTTATTACATTATAAAATAAATTTAACTTTTGTCTTAATTCATACTCGTTCAATTCTGACTTGATATATCATTCTTGTTTCTATTTGTTGTGCATAAGAAATTATGTTCAAATTATATTTCTCGGATATTATTGAAAATTATATTGCATCCATCGTGCTAAGTGACGTAAATTTTATGTTTCATTTATGAAAATTATTTTGTTGAATTGTTATTTATACAAATTTTGATAAATAAAGTCTATTTTTTCCTTCTTCCATTCTGTTATTTATAATTAATTATTTATAATTAATTTACCTTCTTGGTACGGTTTCTGGATGCTTAAGCCTGTGGTCAGCAATAATGGATCTGACATCCACTATTGTACCTTGACGGCCTTCTCCGATCTGCCGACTTTCCGGACTCGACACCTCATTCTGTTTACGACTGCTCTCGCCATTAGTTTTCGGAGGAGTCGCTCGTTGTTGCGAGCTAGCTTTCGGGGTTTTCTCTTTCTTCGAACCCGATGAATCCGAAGATCTCTCGCCTAAATCCTCCTTAATTTCGAAAGATCTCTCCTTCGATATGGAATTGCTGCCGTTGTTCTCCCATTCGGCCGAACTCACAGATGATCGTGGCGGTAAAGTTTCCGACAACTGACCATCATTTTCCATGTAGGCTGTTGTTTGTATCTTCCTTTCGAGTCTCTGGTATGCCTCCTCTTTGAGTTTCCTCTTCCTCAAGATCTCATTCCATTCCATTTCTTTGGCATGTGCTAAGTTTTCAAGTGTCTGCAGATAAAAATTAACAAAAATGCTTAAAGAAAGAGTGGTTCCGAAGAAAAAAAAGAAATCGTAGCTTCTAAAGCAAATACTTACTAAAATATCGGCTCGCAATCGATCAGCTTTTGCCACAAGGTCTTCGATACTTTCGTTGTTGTCACCCACAATATTCGAAATGTATTCTTCTCGTGTGTAGTTGTCGCGGAATTTCTTCTTAGGAGGATTTCCTAAGTGAGGTGAGACTTGTAGAGTAGACTTCCGTTTTCTAATCTCAATCGGCTCAGACCCTGCTTTGACATGTCGTGACTGCACGACATCACTCGGAGTCGTCGCACTTTGTCGCGATGTACTTGCAAGTAGTTGTCTGCCCTTAGTATTCGGAGTATCGCAGCGCGAATTGTCCTTCTTCTTCCGTGGGCGACCCACCGATGCCGTTGGCGCCGCCGCTGTTTCCTCCGGAAGCGCGGCGACGTTCTGCTGATTCTGAGGTACTTTCGGCGACGGCGACGATCTAGACGTCTTGTCGTCCTCTGCGGTATCCACCTTTCGCTTACTCTCGGTCGCACCCTCCATCGCGTGCATTTTGTTTAAACTGTAAACATACGATGCTTTCATTTAGAATTCTTTATTTAAATCCACTTCAGGATTTTATATCAGACTTTGTATCAAAATTCAAGATAGAATTTTAATTATAATTTCAAGTACCGTATAATATAAAAAATTTTTGTATACATCGAAGAATCAAAAATACATATACACATATGTGATTGTAAAATATATTAAATATATTAAATATGCGATATACAAAATTGTGAATAAAAATCTACCAAAATTTATCGCAAATTACAGATTCTCTAAAGTGAATTCAATGTGAATTTTGTATTGCAAATGCTCTTTATATGACAATCGCACATGAAATTATAAATAGAACTTTGTCACAAATTTTAATCACTCAAAATAAACATCAAGAAGACCAGAAAATTGGAAATCTTGAAATGTCAAGATCAAGTCGATTGTATCAGATGACTATTTTTGACAAAAAAAAAACTTGGATCTCGCATCGAATTTATAAATATAGAATGAAACGTGACCATAGAAATAATATTAGAATAACAATAGAAATAATATTAGATATATTATGAGGTTTTTTTTTTTTTAATAAAATGTCTCTGGTCGGGATGATCAAGTATGCAATATATAATCATTTAGGAAACTGTTTTCTCTAATTTTCTTAACAAAGTTTTCTTGCAAATATAAGAAAATAAAATATTTCGCTTGCGGTATTAACACGTTGTCTACTCAATTATTTTTTTATATACCTTATCGTATACAACACAATAAAATTTTCATAAGCATAAATGTATAATGATAAAATAATATATGATTAAATAGAACTTTTCTCTTTTCTTTATTCTCATAGGTATTGAATAGCAGACTTTTTATTTAGCAATTTACGTCATTCGAAACATATTCAATTAATTTTTGTACAAGTATTTAAAAGTTTTTAATAGCACTATGGTTCTCAGTAACCATCACTGAAAAATCAGCTACTGATAACCACCATGGCAGTTAACAGACCAACTATGCAGGAACGAGTATTGTAAAAACATCGCGCATTATCTTGGTTATCAATAAATCCGAGTGCATTGAGTAATAATCGATTGTGATTGTTACATATTTTTCAATCAAATCTACTCGTGTTTTTTCCGAACAACTCGATTACTCAATGTTTTCCCTTCTTTCTTTCTTTCTCGATGCGTGGCATATATATTAATTTATTATTAAAGGATTGTTCCTGGATTTTCGAAACCAAAGTGTTTCCTTGTTCCCATCTTATTCGAAAGAAATCTTATTCGCGCACCATACACGAATATACGAGCGAACTTCCAAGATCTTCTAGCTAAGAAGGCCGAATCCTGCAAAACAACCGTCCGCGAGAAACGATGACATTGATAAACCGATAAACATATACTACAATAAAAGCGTCAGTCGGTCGACCTTGCCTAGAAAATAGTTGTTCACCGGGGGCCTCAAGGTAAAACGCCACGCGCGCGCCATCGTTCCCTCGTAATATCGGCGCTTAACATGTTGCGATATACATGTCCTCACGCGTATATATCATGGCGTAAATAAAATCTTCGTATCACGACCTGATTAGCCAGTCGCTATAATTAGACGTCGCGCAGCTTAATCAGCACACCGTCAGCGTCCCGATTAATTAACGCGCGTAAGCGTCTTCACCAACTTTGCCATGGATAAGGGACGGGGGTGGGAGTAATCAAAGTGGTCCCCTCACTTCGACGCAATCGACAATTCTACGAAAGTTCAGCGAAAGGACACCGAACGATCGGGAACTTGATGGGGAATAAATCTGGAATGTTACGTTCGCTTACTTATTTATAATCAGAAAAATTTATTTATAAAAATTTATGGAAAATTCTTAAAAATATCCCCTCTTTCTCTCGTTTGGGCCAATAACCGCGAGATTTCCAATAAGATTCATATATTATAATTAATTAATTAAATTGTCTTACTTCAACTTTAATTTAATTATTGATAAAATTAAACAAAATTGATTTGTGCAGTAAAATTTAATTGAATTTGACTTGATTACCTATAAGCGTGTATATAACGCGTGTATATAACGTATGAAATATTCAATAAACAATGATAATAAATAGATAATGAGAGAAATAAAATATATATTTCCTATTTGAAAGGATTGATGACATTGAAAGAAAATCTGTTTCTCTCAACGCGATCACTTTCAACATATTTTTCACAAATATTTATATCATACTTTCTTAAAGTAGATATGACCATGATCCATTTGTAGCATTGTTCCGGTTCAGTAAAAAAAATAAATTATAAATAGCAAGTCATATTGCATTATAATATTGCATTAATGCAATAATATTGCATTAACAATCCTTTCAACATGATCGAATTTTAATTACAAATGGATTTTAATTGCTAATAAAACTGTATCTCACACATATGAAAAATTATCCTTATTTCTTGGTTTACTTTTACTAATTCATCTCATATGGTATTTAACGAAGCAATAAAGACATATTAACGATCTTTCTTTGTCTTTTTTTAAATTATTCAATAATTAAATTTAATTTGCAAGTTTTATCTTATTCTTTCATACATGCATACAAACACATAGGATAATATTCATAGACCAGTTTTATTTAAAAAATCGTTCTAAATCTTAAAGTTCAGTGATATGACTAGATCGTACTCAAGACGATCTTAAATGCAAAATTGCACTACGAATCCCTTAATTATTTATATGAGATTAGTTCTTGGCTGATGGGTACGTTTCGTTTTATGCGTGATGTGAGCGATGTATCTCATCCTTGTTATTCCGAATGTTAATATTAGAACCCTGAGGCCATTTTTGTTCTGCCAATCATTTTAATTTTTTTCTTTTAAAAATATACAGTATAGAATATAGAAAATATGTGAATATAATACAAATAATTCTAATGATATAAATAATATAAAAATCAATCTTCATTAAGCGAAAACAAGAAAATTATCAAATTGACAGCTTCGACAATTCTAGCGAAAGTCGGTGATTCTGTAATAGCGTTGAACAAAAATAAAATGATTATGCGCATCTTGTGTAAAACGGAACGTACACATGTCACCGTAATATTTGACAATACAATTGTTTAACGGATCAGTTTGTGTAGTCAGAATGCATGTACAGAGTACATTCTTGCTTTCCCCCTCTCTTCTCACAATCATTTTCTTGAAGGGAATTATCGATTCGTCTTCCGCGTTGTGGAACAGGTGTTTCGTGGATACAAATTTACAAAAAACTTGTTACAGATTTGTTAAATAAATAGAATAACAGTTATCTCACATTGTGTGAGACTGTGATATCAGGCGCGTTTAATATTTCTGATATACATCGGTCAAATACTTGCATGATGACTCGTCATGCCACGTTATCGCAAATATATATCCTCGATGTTGAATATGACGTCGGCGAGACGGCGATGTACACGCCATGTCGCATTGTCGATCATAAGTAAAAAATCACGATATGAATTAAAGAATTAGTTTATTAATATGATAATGATATGATATGATTTAAAATATTATTATATGATTTAAATATTATAATATCGAGTAAAGATGTATAAATTATATAATATAATATATAATAATATATTAAATAAATAGTTTTGCACTATTCACAAATTCGGAGTGATATGGATAGTGTAAGTAGTCTCTCTTCCAAGTAGTCTCCTTTCGAAGCAATGACCTTCTTTCAGTGGTCCACCCATTTTCGAAAGCAGTCTTGGAAGTCACTTTTGTGATATCCAACAGCTTCCTCGTCGCATTTAGTTTCATGTCTTCAACTTCGTTTATCTTTCAGCCGATTTTTCAACTTAAAAAATAACCAGAAGTCATATGGGGCTATATCTGGACTGTATGAGGTTTACGAAGTTGGACAATGCCATGTTTAATCAAAAAATCTTGATTCAGATCAGATGATAAGATGCGTTATCATGATGTAGCAACCAGTTTCCATTTTTCCACAAATGCGGCTGTTTCCTCTTCATTGCGTCACGCAATCGTTTAAAAACGTAATTCAAATAATATTCTGCATTTATTGTACGACCTTGTGGAGCATATTCGTGGTGTACAATATCTTAATCAAAGAAAACAGTGAGCATTGCTTTCACATTGCTCTGGAGCGTTTTCTTGGATCGAGACTCTTCTCTCGTCATCGATTGTGCTTTTGTTTCAGGAGCGTAGCCATAAACCCATATTTCATTGTCAATAATAATCCTTTCGAGCAACTCAGGATCTTTTCTGATGGATTCCAGAATGTCTTTGGCAACTTCAACTCGAAAATCTTTTTTATTTTGATTAGCACTTGTGAAACGAATTTTGCACACACGCGACTCAGTTTCAGATTTTCAGTTAAAATTCGAGAAATACTCTCACTTGAGATTCCAAGGTAGTCTTTTAATTGTGCATTACAGTCACCATTACGAATCATGTCGATTGTCTGGGAAGATGTGTAGGCAAGTTTTTGGCAAAATTTAATGTAAATTCTCTGCTCAGTCATTATAAATTGCTTGAAATTTTCGACATTCACACTGTTGATGACTAAACAGTTATTAAGTCGTGCCGCTTGGTAAACCTCAAGGTCTCTAAATACTGAATGCTTGTTTTCCATAATAGAAAATGCCTAAAAACAAAGATATAAATAAATCTGTGTCAAAAAACTGACTTCTACGTATGTCTTTTTCCTTGAGCATCCTCTCTCTATTGTGGAAACCGCATTCAATATTTAGGGAAGACCTTGAAGAGTACTCTCAGCAAGCGGCACCACTCACTAGGCATAGTCGACAGTACGTAGTTATATGAGTATCGAAAACTCCGAGTGTTGCATTTCACAATGATCACACTTGGTGATCATTTGTCTTATCTGATTCAAGATTTTTTTCCTAAACACAGCATTGTCTAACTTCACCAACCTCCGTACAGTTCAAATGTAGCCTCGAGTGACTTCTAGTTATTTTCTTTTAAAGGATAAAAGATTTGACGATGTTGAAGAAATAA